GTTGTGTCTTTCCGTATATTCGGTATTTGCTAGTATTTTACAACCCCCTGTTATGTGTTCTATTGTTTCGGGTACTAATTTGCATTTCCGGCATTTGTCATCTTGTATGTTTATATCTTTTATTATGTACTTGAGGTAGTTTTTTGTTGAGATTACCTGATCTTGTATTGCGATTAGGAATCCTTCGGTTTCTGGGAAGAGGTTTCCTTTTTTTAGCCATTCGTATGTGTCGTTTTTGTTTATATTTTCGTATGTAGTGGTGTAATAGTGTTTTCCGTGTAATTGTTTTGTGGYCCATGCGTTTATTTTGCTTTGTGTATGGTCTATGTTGTTATAGTTATCTATAGCTGTGTTGCTTGTCGATAGGTTTAGTGGTGTGTAATTTTTGTCGGCTTTCGTTACTGCTTCATTCATGTAGTTGTGTTTCTTTTGTGTGGAAGTATTTGCGGAGTTTTTTTATTTGTCTATTGTGTAACGCTTTTATGTCCGTTATTCCCCTTCCACCTTATTCTCTACTTATTGTTAATCTCTCTACACATGATTTCGGGTGTAGTTTMGTGACTTTGTCAKGTGYGTTCTYGTTATTCTATTRGTGTCATCTAAGTCTGTGTTTGACCAATTGATGATTCCGAAGGAATATGTAAGGACTGATATTGCGTATGTGTTTATTGCTTTGACGAGATTTTTTGAATTTAGTTTGGTTTTAAGTATTTTTGTGAGTCTTTGTTTGTATTGTTTTTGTAAGTATTTTTTAATTTCTGTATGGTTTATCTTAGTATTTTGTTCGAAGCCGAGGTATTTGTATGTTTCGTGTTTTTCTAAGTTTTGTAGTGTTTCGTTCTGTAATGTTCTTTGTGTATCGTCTGTGATGCATTGTCCTCTTTCGATATGTGTTGTTTTGCATTTGTCTATTCCGAATTGCATTTTTATGTCAGATGTGAAGTTTTCTGTGATTCTTAAAAGCGTATTTGTGTTCCTGTTGCTGCATATAGTTTTATGTCGTCTACATACATTAAGTGGCTTATTGTGTACTGCGTTTGTCTGTTATTTCTGATTTGGAATCCATATTTACTTTTGTTTAATATTGTGGATAATGGGTTTAGGCACATATTGAACCATAGGGCACTTAGTGTATCTCTTAGGAAGATACCCTTTTTAATTTTTATTTCTTCCGTTCTTATGGTATCCGTTAGTGTTTTTAATATGATTCTGTTCTCCATGTTGACATGGTGTGTTTTAGGAATTGTTGTGTTTGTTTATTTATTTTGTTTATTTTTAGAATTTTTAAAAGTCATGTGTGTGGTACTGAGTCAAAGGCTTTTTTGTAGTCTATATAGCATGTGTGTAGGTTTCGTTACTGCTTTCTTGCTTGGTTCATTATTATACTGTCTATGATAAGTTGTTCTTTACATCCTTGGCTATTTCTTCTGCATCCTTTTAGTTCTTCTGAGATTATATTGTTTTTTGTGAGGTGTGTATCGATTTGCCGGCATATTGTACTTGTTATTATTTTATATAATGTTGGTAAGCACGTAATGGGTCTATAGTTTGCTAGGTTTTCAGTGTTTTGATTTTTGGGTTTAGTGAAAGTGATCCCTTCGGTTAGGAAACTCAGGAGTTCTTGGGGGTCCTCTATTATCTTATTTATCTGCTGTGTTAGGTATGGATGTGTGGTTGTAAATTTCTTGTACCAGTAGTTTTGTATGTGATCTGGTCCTGGGTGTTTCCAATTATGTGTGCTGCGTATTGTATTTTTTAGCTCGTCTTCCGTTATTTTGTATTCGGCTTGTTCTGGCATGTCTTCATATTTCTGTTTCTCGTCTGTTATCCATGTTGCGTGTGTGTTGTGTTCTGCTGTGTTTGACCATATTTGTGTCCAGAAAGTGGTTATTTCTTTTTTAGTTGGTTGTATGTGTCCTATTTCTTGTTCTATGTTTAGTTTTCTGTAGAATGTTCTTTCACTGTTTAAGAATGTTCTGTTTTCGATTTTCCTCTTATATGATTCGTTATATCTTTCGAGTCTAGCTGCATATACAGCAAGTTTTTGTTTGTGCGTGTCCAGCAGCTGGTTGACTGTGTAATTGTTATTATTTATGTCCATGAGTGTGTTGATGTATTTTGTTATGTTTTTTGACGTATTACCTATTATTGCTTGTGTTAGTCTACCTATGTCTTTCCTTATGGTGTGTATTTTTTGTTCTAGTCAGATTTGCCATTTTGGTTTTTTATGTTTATTTATGGTTTTTTGTCGGTTGTTTAGTGTCTCTTATTATTATTATTATTATTATTATTATTATTATTATTATTATTATTATTATTATTATTATTATTATTATTATT